TCTATCTCTCCTCTATATCTATCTATCTATCTATCTATCTATCTATCTATCTATCAATCTATCATCTATCTGTCATCTATCCACCCCTCCATGTCATCTGTCTGTCTATCTAAATAAATAAGCATCCATGTTGGGCACACGCATATATCCTATTGGTTCTGCTTCTCTGATACAGCCCCTGTGAGACCAGAACCCATAAGAAGTCATTCTCCTAACACACGTGTGCTCGGACACGGACACACACACACACACACACACACACTGATACAGCCCCTGTGAGACCAGAACCCATAAGAAGTCATTCTCCTAACACACGTGTGCACGGACACACACACACACACACACACACACCGGTGTCCTTCCTTCCATCCATCCCTGGTCTCTCACCCTCCAGGAAGCAGCCGTGTTCCCGAGGGCACAGGGACAGCCAGTTGGGTCCCCCCGTCACTCAGTGACTGGCTCCCGCCTCCCGAGGTTCTCGGCAAAACACCCCCCAGTCCCCTCACCTCTCTCCGTCTTCTCCAGCAACCCCAGGGCCGCACACACGTCCAGCAGCCGCCCGGTCCCGCACTCGGAGGCCTCGATCTTCTGGGCGATCTCCGTGGCACTCAGGGGGGCTTCGTCTTGCAATAGATCGAACACCTTCATCTTGCAGGCGGTGAACAGGGCCTGTCCGTGGGAAACCGGGACCGTCAGCCTCGGTGTGTGACTTATCGGGGATGTTTCCCTCCCACAGGCCCAAAGGCAGAGGGCAAGGCTGTCAAGGTGAGGGAAGTCATCGATCCACCCAGTATCTCCACCGACCTACCTACCTACCTACCTACTATCCATCTACACCTTCACTTATCCACCCGTCCGTCCATCCATCTACACCTTCACTTATCCATCCATCCTCCATCTATCTATGCATCCATCCATCTATACCATCCATCCATCTATCTATGCATCCATCCATCTATACCTTTAATTATCCATCCATCCATCCACCCATCCATCCATCCATCTTCCCATCCATCCATCCATCCATCCATCCATCCATCCATCCATCCACCTATCTATCCATCTATACCTTTAATTATCAATCTATCCATCCATCCATCCATCCATCCATCCACCTACCTATCCATCCATCTATACCTTCACTTATCCATCCATCCTCCATCTACCTACCCATCCATCCTTCCATCCATGCACACCTTTCATTATCCTCCATGCATTGATCCTCCATCGATCCATCCATCCACCTACCTATCCATCCATCCATCCATCCATCCATCCACCTATCTATCCATCTACCTATCCACCCATCCTTCCATCCATGCACACCTTTAATTATCCTCCATCGATCCATCCATCCACCTACCTCACTAATCATCCATCTGCCCATCCATTTACAGCTTTAATTATCCATCCATCCATCCACCCACCCACCCATCCATCCATCCATCCATCCATCCTCC